GACCACCAAGGACCCCACGCTGCACCTTCTTAACAGGTGTGGAACAAAACTCCCATTGATCCTCCATCTGCTAGTAGGGCTTTGTGTAATCAAGCATAGTCGAAAGTTCATTAACTTTCCTGGAACTGGCCAAATTCAACAACGTCCTGTAAAACAGGTCCTCAGCAACCACCCTTGGAAGATTCCTTGGGTGTCATTAAAGGATTAAACTCACATCTCCATAAGATCGGAAGTCACCAACAAAGACAATAAAGGGTCGGATGCTAAGGAGTTCTACTCTCCCTCCCCACTTGAAAAGAAATCTCTTCCAAATGCAAAACACAAGCAGAGGAGAGGAGTTTCAGTTTTAGTTTCACAGCACCAAGCAGCTTTAGTACAGAACAGTTGAGCTAAGCCACGCCCAGGCTCCTGGCTGTCTCCTTGCTCACACAGCAACTACTCTTTCACTTTCCAAACAGCCCTCAACTCTCTCACACACACTGACAGGACGCTAATCAGATGAACACCGATGGATGCTGATAGGAAGAGGCAGGATTTTTCCCCCCTTATTTTCCTGCCCAAAAACTAAGCCTGATCACATTGTTTCGTAGCGAAGCACGGCTATTGAGCCAGTTTTATTATAAGCAGCAAAAAAAACACACTGACTAGGAGATCCAAAAAGGCATCTCCAAGAACTGGATTAAGTCGCTACTCAAATGGATTTGACTTAGCCTTACCCTTCCCACCTGGATAATTCAGGTAACTTGCTCAAGTGAGATTCATCCTTCCAAGCTCCAAGAAAGATTGGTATAACCCGTTCCTAATTTTATTGTTGGAGCAACTGCTGGCCGTAAGAAATCAAAGATAAGGCACGCTTGAGATTTGACATTTTATGCCCGACCTGAACGGTTCTCCCCCTCGGGGCAAAGTTCAGCTTCTGTGAATTTTTAGGCAAAAGGTGGAACAAGCATGGATTTCTTCTTGAATCTGAAGAATTAAGTCAGGGGTGTTCTGGAACCAGGGCCGGAAGGAGAAAAGTTGTAAAGAAAAAGAGTTTTGGGGAAGGTCGTTTTGGACTGAAAGGTTGTCCTCTCTGTCATAGAATCCTAGGAAAGGGACCTTGGAGGTCTTCTAGTCCAATCCCCTGTCCACAAGGTCTCTTAGGTATAGTATACTAAAAAATAAAATAAAAATCCAAATGGCACACATCCTAGAAAGGAGAGAAAACTTCGATCACACAGGTCTGCATTTCATCTGGACTGTTTTGAAACATGTCATACGGGAAGCGCCGCTTCTGAGCACAGGAGTTCGCTTTACTGTAAAGTATGCCCTGCTCTTTAGCTCATGCTGTGCCTCCTGCATGGCGGAAACAGAAAATGACCCGATGTCGAAGACAAAGAAATGTATTCTTCCCCCACCCCGGCTTCTATATGGCTGTGTATATGTGCTTGACTGCCTTTGTGGGTTGGTTTTGAACATTGCAACGAGTTCCCGTTCTGCTAAGGATCCTAAAGGAATGCACCAAATGAAATAAATGTTTGTCACATAATTGAAAGGGGGTGGAAGAAAATCCCCAACTCAGGACCCTTAAACTAGAGGAATCTCTAACTTTCTGTCTCTCTGTCTCTCTCATCTGTCATCAATTTATCATCAACCTACCTACCTATCTACTGTATGGTGTATAGAATTGGTATAGGGTCTCCTGCTTGGGCGGGAGGTTGGACTAGATGACTTACAGGGTCCCTTCAAAGTCTGTTAACCTGTTAAGGAATTAAGGTTATCTATTATATCATCTATAAACTGACTATCTGTCTCTCTTTCTCTCTCTCTCTCTCTATCCATCCATTCATCTACCTACCTACCTATCATTACCATATCTGTATCTCTCTATCTCTCTATCTCTCTGTCTGTCTGTCTGTCTGTCTGTCTTTCTATCTATCTCTATCTCTATCTCTCTGTCTATCTATCTATCTATCTATCTATCTATCTATCTATCTATCTATCTATCTATCTATCTATCTATCTATCTATCTATCTATC